TGGTGCACGCGGTCGATCCCGTATCGACGGCCGGGATGAGTCACGTCAGATTTATGCCGTTCCGAACGTGGCGAGAATTCCACCGAATTCCCGCAAATCGGTACTTCGTTAGAACTGCACACGCATAAAGAACATATTTACGCAATGTATCAATTTAACCTCAATGGTATTTTTTGTGTAAAATTTTATCAAGTATTTATAAATTTACAGTAATCGTGATTTTTTCCAATTAAAACGTTCATTAATATTTACGAAGAAATATTAGTAAAGATTATAATGTGATGATAAATGTGTCTATTATTATTATTTCTTACATTCTTCAATTTTTATATTTGATGTTTTAATTTCTACATTTTTATATTTATAACGTATTATGCAATAATTTCATTTTATATCTCATGAAAGTTTGCTCACAACAGTTGAATACAATCAGCTTATGCTTTTAGTTTGCTGAATTAATAAATCACTGAATTAATAAATCACAGTTTATCTACATTAATTATCAAAACTTAATAAATTACATTAATAAATCAAAGTTCATCTAAACGCATCCATTATAATCACAGTTGCTAATGCATTATTCTAAATGTTCTAATATTGTTTGTATTCATATGTTAATATTAATATAAATATTTAACTTTTGAATTCATGGATTCTTTTCGATTCGTTTAACCTGCGAATTGCTAGTACTTATACACACCTCATAGCATACTCATTACATTTTAGGAACAAATTAATCCTCGATAGCATAGGGCACGCATTTCGAATCCTAACATGCGGTTTAAGCCGCTCGTTTGTTTGATCGTCCGGATTGTTTGTCGTCGACGCTAGTTTCATCGTCGTCACGATCGTCGTCGAATTCTCTTAAGTCTCGCAATCAACTGAATCGTTAGTCGCTCTTACCCGGTTCTCTAGATGTTCGTTTCACCCATCCGATCCAAACGGATGCGCAAGGCGGTACGAAGCAGATTTAATTAAATTCGAGATGACGCTCGATACCACCGGCGCGGGCGTTCTCCACCTTCCCGAAATATCACGAGGCATCGAAACTATTTCGCAGCTAGGATAGAGGTATATCTAAGTTATGAAATCGTTATGCGCGCGGACTCGCTATTGGTCTGGAATTTGTAACATAATCAATTGCTTATAATTAAGATGGGGAGAGTAAAACATAATTGGATATGAGATTATATATATACTATATATACATAAAATAAATTTTATATACATATAAATACCTTTATACATATAATAGAGACAATGATACATAATTACGACATAAATATAAATTCGATATAAAATAAATAAATTTAAGGTTACATATGCAATAAGTTAAAAATACCAATTAAGTTAAAAAATACCAACAGTACACGGTGTTCCCAAACGAACAGTTCAGTTTAAGTATTAACCGTGTCCTACATTAACTTAAATAATCGAACGAAAACTTGTACGTTTAACGTGATTCGATGATGAAAATGTCTTCTTTGTAAAAAGACAACGTATTTGTTCATCAAATCTCTTCATGTTATATTTATATTTCTTAATAAATAAATTTTTTTCCATGATTGTTATTTTAAGAATAACGGAATCTTTACGGAAGAGATCTAATCTTTCTACAAATTCTATAATATTATAAATTTTATTTTTATATAATTATATTTAATATAATCAATATACTCGTATTATTACTTATACAATGTTTGCTCTGCTTAATACTCCAATTAATATTCTCTTTGAATTATGATTCGTTGACTTTGTTACAGTCTGTTCTGTTTTGCAAGTTCTATTAGATTGTAAATTTTCTCGTCACGCGAGATTGCTGAGGTGATTCTATCTTGGCTTCAAAAATCTTCGTAAACAGGCTCGCCGTTGGCATAACGTCGAGAAAACGTGGCATGTAAATAGAATCCACCTGTACACACACCTGCCACAACTTTCGCATCGACCTTTATCGCGAGATACCTTCTCGTGAGGATCGATCTACATTGCGGCCCGCAAACTTCGTCGGTTTTCATGTAATCGTTTCGTAAGCGAACCGCAGTCTAAACTTTGCTCGCTCAACACTGAAGTTGAGCGTTACGCCGTGGCGAAAATAATGAAAATAAGTGACGCGAGGCAAACAGCGTGACGACGGAAACGACCATCGTTTACCAGACCATTGATCACTTGGGATTGACTAGACTATTATCACAAATGAAAATGCAATGTCTATGCACGATGTTTATGTGTGATCTAGTATTTCTCTTATGTAGATATAAAATTAAAATCAACCGCAATAAAAGCAAAATGAATAATTTCAGTCATATTAATTATAACGAATAATTATATTTATGGTGATATAATTGCATATCACTTTATTCTGTTCTCTTTTATTTCTATTATGTTTTATTACATTTATTCATGCGTAGTATATCTTTTACGCTTTGTTAATTAGTCTTCTTATACCTTTTGAAAATTCCGACATTTTTAAACTTTCAAATGCATTCAGAGTTTACTGCGAAAATAAAATTTAATTTCGTGTAGTTTCCTTTTATGGCTATGACATATATGAAGCTGCGGTGAATGGTATTCCGAGCTTTAATATATTAAAACCCACGGTGTCGCGCGCTTGATTCCCTATTTAGCTTATCGCGGGCTTTTGTCACAGACACTAGAAATACCGTCAGCGTGTTACCTCATGATTTTGCACGTAGCGACCTATCCGTTGCATGTGCTTGAAAGAGGAAGGGAAGGACGTTAGATTGCGGATTGCAGTCGCAGCGGTGGCCGGCGGCAGTCCCGGAAATTGCAACTGCAAGCGGACTGGCTCGTAAACTCGGGAAATTCGCTGACGCTCTCGTTGCGAGACGAGAGAGGAATGAGCGAAGCGCATCAGGAACCAACCGAGAGGAGAGGTCGCCTTGCGTGGATCAAGTCCGTCGTAATTTCTTGCCGTGTCCTTCGGTCTGTCGTAAACTTTAAGTGAATTAGAACGCAAAAGCGCGGTAATGGATCTGGGAAACTTATCAAGTTTCACATCGAGTCACTACTCATTCGATTTTCGATTTTAAGGTTTGTCGTAAAAGAATTGAGGCAATTTGCTAAAAAAAATTAATCTGCCTTCTCAAAATGTGATAATAAACTATAGTAAAGTAATGAAAATCTTCTTCGATGGAATAATGAATTGGAAAAAATAATGAATCAAAATTTTAATGTTTTTTTTGTTATCTTTATAACACTAATATTTCTTAAATAGAATTGTATATAACATAGTTTTATTTCTTCAAATATATAATGAAATTACAATTACACACACACACAGCAATATCGATTTTCTTCAAGTACAATATCATTAAAAAAATTTATCTTTAAAATTCTAAATCTCTATACTTTTAAATGACTTTTCCAGTTTATAATTTTATAAATAAATTTTATAAGAATGCTAAATTTCAAATTCTTTTAAGAATCAAAAATTCTTTAATATTTACGTGGAACTCGAACAAATTGCTGTTGCATTTGTGTTAAAAGATACATAGTCTCGTCCCAGACGCAGAATTAAAGAAAAAAAAGACTGATGCAAAGGTGCAGTAAACGCTCGCGGCATGAGAAAATCGCTTTTAAAGTTCGAGGCCATGCCGCCGCATCAAATTTCCTGGGAAGTCTCTACACCGAGGTAGAGAGGTCAGGAAATTTTTACGAGATGAGCAAAGGAAACGCCGCCGGATAGGTCGCCATCCGGTTTAATTCTTAGAGATTCCACGAACGAGTCATTACACAGGATGTATCGTTGTCTTCCTGGCTTTCCACATTTAATACAGCTTTGATGACATTAACTTTATTGAATTCTGACTTTGTCAGATCATCTTAACTGCATTTACGGATATTTTATCGACAATTTTTAACTAACTAAATATGTTTTTATCTTTATAAATTCCTATTTTATTTTAGTCGAAGATTTAATTCATAATTTTGCGTGGTGAGGTCAGGACTTCGTAATAAAATTGTATTATATAATAAATCATGTACCCTAAGTAATTATTAAGTATTTTCCAATTAGCCTTTATTAAGTAAATATTAATTTTTTACATTTAAAATAAAAAATAAAACTATTTTAATTTTTAGAAAAATTTAAAGTAAAATATGTTATAGTTAATATAGTTCAAATTGTAGTTCCTTACTGCTTTTTTATTGTAGCCGTATTCAATTTATAACTTCAACAGTGAAAAACGATGTGAATTTTTTTTCATTATACGTTGAAATTAAATTGTTCACGCGTTACTATTCTTGTATAAATTAATGAAATATACTTTATCATTCGCACTGTTTGATTAATAATAAAATTATAAATAACTAAGGAATTGTTTTTAAAGGAAAATTCTTTTTAAGGTCCTAAAAAGCATCCATATATTTTATAGTCTCCTACAGAGATAAATCTAATTTGTTTTGGAAACGGTTTGAATGTAAATAATAATGTATTCGATTGGAAGTTCTGTTCTACGAAACCCGAATCTCTGTCGCGATTAGACAGTCGATCGATCCTCTAATCGCTGGACATCGCTCTCTCTCTCTCTCTCTCTCTCTCTCTGAATTACAGAGGCGTTGCACAGTCAGCCTTGTAATAGCTGTGTGTAGCTACTACGATGTGCAATCGATAGATAATAATTGGCTCTCGAATGCTTACGTGTTATGCGGGAAGCGATACCTATACCTACTCGCGAACTCAACATTAACTTTGAAATCGCTGATGTAAATCCGATCGCCAATTAGCATTAACATAGATTTACATTTAATATCAGATTTTACGTAACGCGAAAGAAAGTAAACCTATGATATGAGTTAATCATCATACTTATCACCATACTTATAAAAATGTATAACAGCCACTTTCGTGCGGAGATGCAAAGTGCCATTTTTTATCACATCAAATGCCTAATTTTTGTTGCATAGATTTTTAAAATCTAATTTTCAATGTGTTTACATGCGTCGTCAAGTATTTTTTATATTTTTCTTATTATCTATAGATACGCGGATCGCTCGTATAGAACCCACCCACGTGGATTGATCATATATGGTCAAGCAACTGTTGTACCAAGTTCAGCCGCGGGTGGCAATGTATCCTCGACGACGATACTCTCAATACTGGCCAAGGGCTTCTCGAATTCATCTAAATCCGAGCCGGTGCCAATCAGAAATCTGGTTGGCAGTGGAACCACACGAGATCTTCCAGTGGCGAACGCGACTAGCAACGTGACGATGCCACGGTGTCCCCTCATCCCACCGAATTTGGGTAAGTGAACAAATTGCCAGAGATATCATATTAATCTGTAATAAACCGAGAAAATTTTTTAATTAAAATTAAAGCTTACGTATCGTGAAATCGTTCAGAAACTCTTTTACGATTTCAATTTACTGCGCTTGAACTCGAGAATAAAATATAATGGGAAACAGATTAATATGCAAATATTATAATAAAAATATAGATATAGATTAACTATCGTTTAATATATTATTCATATATATTCGTGCAGTCTAATGTCATTATTATTGAAGTACGTGCGTACATTTTTTTTCGCGCCTCTCGGATTACTTCTATCTCTCTGTGTTTTCTATTTCCAGTTGGACCGGTGATCGTCAGTAAATCACCACCATCATTGTCCGAGATGGAGAAGTCATTCGCGGAGGTGAAAGCAGGCGGCATAGGTCGGCCTGCAGATTGCGTCGCTAGGCATCGCGTCGCAATAATCATTCCATTTCGCGATCGACCGCAGCATCTGCAGACTCTCCTCTACAATCTGCATCCGGTACTGCTACGCCAGCAGATCGACTATCAGATTTTCGTGGTTGAACAGGAAGGTGAGTGGAACTCATGAACATCACGACCAAATTGACTGGTTGCACATCCATTTTTTCGCCTCTCACAGAGACGTTTTTGTACACGACAAGTTTCAGCATATCCGCGCGGCTTTTAATGCTTGTTACGAAAGTTTTCGAGAACATTTCGATCACTTTCGGTCGGAATTGATTTCAACAGATAAGAAGATATTAATATCTAATTTTTTAATTATTTATTTTTTAATTATTAACAAAAATACATACCCACACATTTGCTTGGTATCATTATGTTTCTTAAAAAAGATATCTGATATTTTAATTTAAAAAATATTTACAATACACTCATTTTTATGAAAGTTATAAGCAGCCGAACCGGGTTAAGTATGTCTATTGTTTCCATAGTTTGGCGTTTAAAAATTAAATACGCGTGTTGAATATTATCGAATTGATAAGTTATATGTTCTTTGATATAATCTTTCAATATAATTTTTCACTGAAAAAAAGGAATCAGTTTCAAATCGCTGCTTGAACGATATTTCAGCGTATCGGAACCGTAAATTCTTATTCATCCTGAGCATCCCAAATATACGCGACTGATGTGTGCATTCCGGTGTTTCGATAACATCCTCCGGAACACACGGTTTGTTTCCGCAGAGCGAATATAAACGTACGATCTTCTCTGGGCCTCTCCTTCTCGTCGGTGCGTGTAAGCCGATACTCCGCTACGATTTATTGCCGTCTAGCGGACGTTCCTCTTGCTTGCGTATTTTCCCGCTTGTCTCCTCGAGTAGAGGATCCTCCTACCAAGAGGAAAATGCCAGTAGAGCAAGAGTTGGGATGTTCGAACGGAAGAGGCTGTTACAAAGTTTCCGTCGTAGCCTGTAAGCTCTTAGACTTAATTTTTAATTAAATTTGTGTACGTCCTCCATATCTCTCGCTCTTTTACTGACGCCCTTTTGTGACTCGAGTAATCGACCGACCGACCGTAACAACGCGTGAACTCTCAAGGGAAACGACACGAAATAATTTCGTCGACACGGCACTGATTATATTTTAATGAAATTTTTTAAAACTCTCAGAATTTATAACTCGTGTGGATGCAGTATATTTCTGTTAGCTTTTTTTAATGATGGCATTGCGAAGATACATTTTCGCAAAAGAGTTCTCTTTTAGTCGCCTGCGCCTTGACAACGATTTTACATCGTATAAGGGCATTTTTTAATCTTTAGTTATGAATTATATTAGGGGCTGCTTTTACGATGTGCTCTGTGAGGTTGATATATAGGTAGCACAAGAAAGAAAATGAAAGATAGAAAAAATTATGTTCTTGATGAGAAATCTTTAAATTAAGGTATTTTAAAATTCGTCTTCCTCTAATTATAATTACATGTATTTATAAATATAAAATCAACGAACACAGTAATGATTAATATAGGAAGAATATATTTAAAATCATTTTGAGTAGGACAGAAGATTTAATAAATTATAAGTTTTTAATTTCAAATAATCTTTGAAAACATAAAATAATTATTTAATTCTAAACAATTTATTACATATTAGAGAGAGCTATTTTAGACTAGAATGGAAAAAAAATGTAAAGAAGATTATCTTACTTATCTTAGAGATAATATCATTTTCTTTGGCTGGGATACAGAATTTATCACTCTATTGAATTGCCTAAGAAAATGCGATTTATCTTGGCTATCGAAAGGCTGTGAGTAAGCTCACAATTTATCTTCATTAAAATTGCTCGACTAAGTTTGTTTACTTACCGCGTATGCGAGACGTCAAAATATGACTGTGATTAATTCTCTTGTTATTCTACGCAGTGCTTCTGTACACTTCCGGTGTGTATGATGCACAATGAAACTACATGCGAAGGAAGTTTCGTAACAATGTGAACAAATTTGTCGCTAGATAATATCCGATTCGGCATTGAAGTCGATTTTACTACATCATGTATAATATTTCGCGAATCTTTAACACATGTCGATAGAAAGTTAAAAAATGAACAATTCCTTTATAAAAAATTAATGAATAAAAATAATATTATCTTTGTGGATATTAAATCAAAATTAGAGAAAGAATAATCTAAGTTTTTATTCACATTTAGCGCGCGCGAATCGAATATTATATTTAAAATTCATATATCGTTTCTGCATTTGATATTATATCTTCATTTACCACTTCAAACAACGATCTCAGATCGGTTTAACAGAACGATATTACTTCAACGCTCGTCCATTTTATCATACGTTCGAAACGTCTCTCGAAAATGTCGGTGCAATTTAATATAGTTTTCGTTGGAAAGTTTTGAGTGTAGAATTCCTGATGGAATTCTAAATCCGATTTTATTCGCGTTTCTCCGCTCGGTATGCAAATGAATATACAAAAAAAGAGACAGTTGTTGCAAAATTTTTCATCATGGTCACATGTTTCGTAGCAAAAAGCATTGAATAAAACATTATCGATATTTATAAGAGAAGATATTACCACAAAATACGTTAATCAATTTACATCAAATAAATGAAGATTAATGTCGAATAGACTAAAAGTAAGAAAATTGACAGAATAATTATTTATTTTTTTATACGTTGTAATTCTTTGTTTAAAAAATTATAAATTATAAATGAGAGTTATTTTTATTACAGAAATATTAAAAACTTTATTTTTTATTTTTTTATAACAAATCGAAAAATAATTTTTGGAATAATTTCAGAGATTATATTCAAAGATCGTGAAGATATTTGTCGCTGTAGAAGTATTTGAAATCGATTGCTATTATATCCCAATTTGCATTAATTTGCTGCAAATCGTCGACGAATGAATTCTCTTGCAATAATTTAATAAGGATAATACAATGTCATTACTATCCTACGATCTTCTCGAAGAATAAAGAAAGATTCTTCGTCGTGGAATTATTTCAATCGGATCGCTATTATGTCGTAATGACGTTAATTTACGGCAGATCGCCGTGCAATGAATTCTTGCGATAATTTAACGAAGACGATATTTCACCGGCGCCGGTGCGATTAATTACAACGAAACAGCAACGATTTATTCTCACCGTTGCGCTGCGCGCGATTCCTTAGAAAATGCGCCGAACTGTTACTCACTGTCAGGCTACTCTCGAAGACCCAGCGTAAGTCAGGCTTAAGCGCTATCTAATCCTGCAAGCCTGGGGGACTAACATTTTCTCTATGATTCCCGCAACCGACGACATGAGTCATAGTTACATATTTGTATATGCAGCGAGAGTTACCGGTATATACAATCCCGAAAAACTCGATTAAAATTAAAAAATTCTCACCGTAAATATTTTATTTTGCATCAATTTAAGGGTTTGATATGAGAGTAATTTAATTGATTCGTTAGAAATCTGAAAACATTTTTATTTGAATTAAATTACATTTTTTTTGTATTTTGTGAAAAAATAGCAGTTAAAATAGTAAACAATGTAAATTGCTGTTTATCCACTTTTTTTCTTTCAAGAAAGAATATCATTTACACCACGTAGATGCAAATGTACTATTTTAAGTCAAATTATCCCAAATTTACTCAGAACGGAAGAATTTATTGTACCATTATACTGAAGTACTACAATAATAAACATGAATTTAAATTTATTAGTGTAATTTTTTAAATTTTAGCGAGTTTTTGTAGCAAGTGCTAGTAAAACTTACCACGATAATGTCACACAGAATTACACCGTCCATTTATATTGTTCTTAATGTTTTTACTTGGTATCTTTCGAAGGTGTGTTCACATAATCACAAAAAATGAATCGAATGGGTCATGATTATCGCAAACGCAACCCGCATATCCGCCATGCGGCGGTGGATACCGTTACGATCCACGTACGTGCAAAGTCACGATCATTTATCGTCAAGTCGAGCTTAATCTAACCAGTCATTCGTCAAGTCGGAGCACCTGCGCGTAAAAGGATCAACTAACGAATCGATAAAATGAAGTAAATTTTATGCAGTTACAGAGATATGCAAAAATAACGTATGATATAAAGTAATAGACGAATTTAATACAAAATATTGCTATCACCACTCTGGATGCAATATTTTCGATAGAATAAAAAATATAATTTCCTAATTCTTTTAGTATGCATTAAAAATCTCTATTTAGCACATATTGTTGAAGTTTGTTTTTAATTTCTTTTATATATGATAATTTCATAAATAGAATAGAATTTTGTGACGTATTATAGTTCCGAAAAATTTTTAATAAAATTATTTACGTAGATTGAAGACACATACATACATAACGAATATGGTACGATATGTGTGCTGTGCATTTTTACGCGCGCGCGTGTGTATGTGTGTGTATGTACACTTACAAATTAACGCAGCTTTAATTGTCCCAAATGGCTCGGACACGGTCGCGCTCGGCCGCAGTTTTGAAATTCAAATTCCGAGTGCTCTCTTTCGCTCTATCCCTCTCTCTGTTTTCTAGGACTATGCCGCCTCGGTTCGGGATTAAAGCGGAGTTAGCCACCGAATACTTAGCTTTTGCATAATTAGTGCTGCACTGAATATTTATCGAATCGACTACGAGAGGATCGGCGACTTCGTTTGCAGTAAGTCCGGCCGATCGATTGCGCCGCGCGGATCAGGAAATTAGATTCACGGCGTACTTCCCTCTGGCTCGAACAAAATCAATTTCTCGATATGGGATTAGAGTTTGGAGATATGTGAGAGAAGAGAGGAGTTCCTATCTTGAGAGTACTAATCTCACTAGATTTCTTGATATTTCGTATTTCTCGATTTTACGACTGAATTTTTGCTCGAAAACTAAATTGAAATATAGAGATAATAAAAATATACAGGTAAACCTGTTCGTCTTTCTCGTAATATAGAAGAAGATATTTTATAATAGTAATAATGATATCGACGTAATATTAGCTATATATTAGAAATTGTCTGAGTAGCATATCTAATCTTACTACAGATTGATATTGAATACCAAATGAATGTATTGAAACAAATATTAAATGAAACATATGTATATTATTCATTTATTTAATATAAAACAATAACTATTTTTGGGGCTAAATATTATTTTTATAACAATATCAACTATAAAAGTAGAGCTCCTGACTTATTATTTTATATAATTATGGTCACAAATATCAAACATTTTCTTCTGACAAAGAAAGGCTTTTAGGTGTTCCTTTTTAATTTAATGAAACTTAATATATTTGTAGAGGGAATAAAAATATTTGATACATTTTTTTTATCAACAATCGAACATATTTAAGAATTGAAAATTAAATCTCGAAAATTAGCCAAATTTTCATCGTTTGATTACCGATAAACAATAAGTATCGAATATTCAATAAGATTTCACTCTTCAGAGTGAGATTCACTCTAAAAGTTTTAGAGAGTACGTTAGATAAAAAAGTAGATTTAAGTATACGTTTGAATAATATTCACAGTCAGCTTCTAATAATTATTATTTTCGTGAAACAGACGCGCAGTGCGGACATTCCTCTGTGAATGTCTAACTACCGGAAGAGGGGCAAGATTATCGAGGCGGGGAACTCTCACGGACAATTAGTCGCACCTGTCGCTGGCCGCCGCGGCTTCAGGCACTCTCGCGATACAGAAATCCGCCCATTAATATCGCGTTGGATAGAACTGTCGGAAGCACCGGCGTGCATCCGCATGGGATAGACTCTTATTATCGTAACTGTATACAATCGTTAACATCGACCGTCCGGTCATCGATACCAAGGAAATCCGTTGCCTAGTCGTCTTAAGTTTGATAAAAACCATCGAGAAACACGATCGAGTTTTCCTCGTAGTGTTGAATTGAAATGATATAGGAAAGATAGACAGCCTGACGACTGTCATAGGTATCATTATGTAAGCGAAATCTTCTTGAATTCAGGAAATTTCACTGCAAAGATGCAATTTCCATTGCATCTCCGCGGAATTACTGTATTCTCTTAGAAACGATTTTCACGATCGATTGTAATAAGCGATAATTAATTTCATTTTGTGAAATTACGCTATTTCGTTATTTCGTAAATTATAACAATTTCAACGCCTTTGCAAGGCATAGATAATCAAACGATAATCGCGTGATACGGAAATATCACGTACAGTTGTTATTCCAATGTGCTATTGCACAAAATTGAGAGAAATTACTTTTCCAGCGATAAAAAGTAACGAAAGCCGAGACACGGCGAGAACAACAGGGAATATTCTGGGAATTTAAATGTACAGCCGAGGATAGACGGGCGCGGCAATGATGGTGCGTGCCCTTCTGCGCTTCTCGAACAAACGTGGCAGCGCATAACTTGATATTGCAAACGCAATTCTTTCGAATGAATAAATAAGCGGGATTCCTCCACGAAAAGAGATATGGAAATGGACCGAGCTCGTCGCTATAGTTCGGAGTGGTGGTATCCGTCGGGACGATAATCGACTCAGACGTTTTAATTTTACCAACATCACAGGAAAAACTCGTCGCAAACGGAAGATATTGATAAATATTTAATCGGCCGTTTTCCATCACATCACGTCGCACTACTTCTCTTCGATCTCTCTTTACGTATTAGTAATTATATGATAAAATGATCGGTAAATCGGAAATAAAAGAAAATCACAACCGATAAAATTTCATTACTCGAGACACGATTCAATACACAGTCACAATCTTATTAAAGAGACTAACTGCGAAGCCAACTTTATACTCGAAAGTACCAAGAAAATGTAATTAAATAAAAAGTGATTCTGTCGTTTATATTACGAGAAAAACTATTATCTGATTTATGTTTTTAAAATAATTATAAGATATAAATTATATATGATACATAAAGGCAAGATAAATCTATTAGCTTTTAGCTTTATTTTTACGTGGGTGAAAGTGCTCTTTCGCCTTTGTATATTTTTTTTTTAATGAAACGACCAATTTATCTGATATTTAATATTTCATATCTATATGATATTTTATACTTTATATTATTAGCTAATGAAAAATCTTGAATTATACTTTTATCATTCATTTGCTTTATTAATACATTTTTTGAAGCATTAACGCTTAAAAGATTTTTAGAATATCATCCGTTTCTATTTTCTCTCGATCAGACTACACTTCGCTTCTGTTCGTTTACAATTTTAATTTGTCAAAGAGCGTAATTGTACGGTAGTACGCTTTGGAATGCCAGCACCAATGTGACGCATCGCAAATAACGTAGAATTGCTCTGTAACGAAACACCATTAGATCGCTCAACATTTACATCTTTTAGGTCAACATTGCCTCGAGATGAGACTTTCCTTTGCCCCTTTTCTTCCTTTCGTGAAATTGTTCACCGTAGTCGTGCTACACCTGCGTCTCTTTATCGTCGTTCACTGTGTTTCGCGTCCCTATGCACTCCCGCCGTTCTGCTGCCTTATCGCATCCCTTTTTACTCGTCGTTGACGGCGTAAAGAAATATCTGAAATACCCGGAATACACTTCCGCCGAGACGTCTTTCGTCGAGGCCGGGAGAAACAAGACCGTTTATATCCTGCCGTGAGCGCATTTGGCGAAGCTCCTCCGAGGGGGGTCCTTCTTGTAACGCTCTTTATCTTTCCGCGTGTGTCTTCCGTGTATATCGGTTGGCGGTAGTGCAGGAGATTCGATCGAGCGCGAAGTCTATTCAGCCAATAATAATCGATGGGAGATGCAACCAGCAGCTTTGAGAGCGTTAGCCTTTGCTTTTCCTCCTCGTTCTTTGAGAAAGAGCCTGCCAGTTCGTCGGTCTCGTAATCATTCTCGAATAATCGGACGCGATGCAGACAGCGTTTATAGAATCCAGTTAGATTCCTTTTTAGTCTCATACGCTTTCCGCGCTCTTTCGCTTCCGTCTTTCTCCACAGAAACTATGTATGAAGTACTCCGCGACGTATTCGATAAATAATTTAATTTACTTTATAGATATTCTCTATACTGCTTAAAATCAACGTTGATGGAAAATTAATTTATTTATTTAGCTGATGAAGTTAAATATGATTTTATAGAAAATGTTATTATTTTACTATATTATTAATTCTGTTTTGTTTGAACAGAAATATTAATAATTTGTTTCTGTGTTTCGTTTAAAGAGAAATAATAATAATTACAAATTAAGAAATGAGATTATTTTTTTGTTAATTGTACTCCTGAGTTTGTTCTAATATTTTGGACTATATTAATCCCAACCCAAGAAGATGAAAACAACGAAAGGACTTTAAGCGGATGACAACGAATATGAGGAAAATTCACCAAAGTTCCCTACGTATGGCCCACTTTCGTCATGGTATTTGAGTAACCGCGATGACAGGATAAGACGTGAAACTTTTAATTGCGCCAGACGACTTGACAAACATCCCCGGGTTCCTGCAACTCCCTTTTTCATCAATCCTTGCAAGGCGGCAGCTCCTCTTGTCAAACCAGCGGCAATTTGTACGCGGCTGCTTCCCCTCCCTTCCGATGGAGATCAAGACTTCCTCCGGCTTTTAAACAAGTCTGTTATAGCAACTTTGCCAAGAAAGTTCCTTTAAAACACGCTGGAGAGCTGGATTATTTGCTACAACCTCGAGTCGAGAGCGTGGAGCAACTTTGATAGCTTGTAGTAGGTCGAACTAATCAACATTCATAAATTAAGGGCGCGCATAAATTAGGAAAAGTAAGGGAGTTAAAATTTCATCCTGAATCAAGCTAAATATTTTAAACTTGATTAACAATGAAGTACTTGAAAGATTTAGCGGATTTTTATTTACGAAATCGTAGACTCTCTTTTGACTTGCTGCAATTTATTAAAGAAGCTCTACACTTTGATTATAATTTATTTCAGACTTGATTAAGTTTCTGCTCCATGAAAATTAATAAATACAAAATGTTGTATATATCATACTCATATATGAAGTAATCGAGATATAACTTAAATCAAATTATTATGACTACACATTCATATAAAATTGGAACTTTCTAAGAAATATAAATCAATTGAAATTGTTGAAAGAGGAGAAAATTAAAAATTCTTTTTAATAAGAGTTATCGAATGAAACCGAATTAATTTGATTTACTATTTTTGCTTGAAAAGATTAATATTTTTCTTTAGCAATATATCGTGATATTTATCCATGTCGTTCTGTTTTCAGGTACCGAGGCCTTTAATCGAGCAATGCTCATGAACGTCGGCTATGTGGAGGCTCTAAAAGAACGAACTTTCGACTGCTTCATCTTTCACGATGTTGACCTACTTCCAGAGGACGATAGGAATCTGTACACTTGTCCCGAACAACCCAGACATATGTCAGTTGCAGTGGACAAATTCAAGTACAGGTAAAAATACGATCCCCTCGTTACACAAAAAGCCGTTCTAAATAAATACAAATACGAATTATAAAATCTAGTTAAATATTTTAAATTTAAACACATCTATATAATCAAATAATTTTTTGAAATATAAACAATGGAGGAATAAATTAAATCTTATAAAAATGTCACTTATAAATTATATAAATCTCAATATGTTTTATGTATTTGAATCTAGCTTGTTTTTTTTTAATACAAAAAAAATTATTTAATTATACTTTTTTGTTATCAGGCTACCCTACAATGATCTCTTTGGCGGCGTGTCCGCAATGTCACGCGAACACTTCCAGCTGGTCAACGGCTTTAGCAATGTCTTCTGGGGCTGGGGTGGTGAAGACGACGATATGGCGAATCGTATTAAAGCTCATGGTCTACATATTTCGCGATATCCGGCAAATGTTGCACGCTACAAAATGCTTGCGCACAAAAAAGAAAAGGCCAATCCGAAAAGGTGAGTCAAAAATATCGCAACTTTTTATTCAGAATAACTATTATAGTTTCTTTGAGCCTTTTTCGGATTGTAGTTGAATGCTTAATTTTTGATGATAGGTATGAGAATCTGAAGACAGGCAAGAAAAGATTCTCCACTGACGGGTTGGCTAATCTGCAGTACGAATTGATTGACAAGCGGAAGCCAAAGTTGTATACGTGGCTTTTAGTGAGACTGACGCCACCTCAGCCCAGCTGATGGCTACCATGGATCGGCTGAAAGCTCCTGCATGCCAAGCTTCCTAGCGAGGTCAATGCAATTGTGTTGCGACAACGCGATCCTGGAGCTCGCCGCTCTTCGAAGAAGCAAGATTAAAGACGAAAAATATTTCCGTGAAGCCAGAGAAACGTAAAGACGTTTTCTGAAAACACTCCTGGAAATGTTAGAATTCCGATTCATCGATGAAGAGACGAGATCCTGAATGCATCGGTCATTTTTATCCCTAATTAATCTAACTGCAGATATATTTGGCCATCCAGTAAATAATTATATATAATAATTATGATCCAATAATGATGAAAATATGGAAGGAAGGAATATACTCGAATGAGAATGACGAACAATTATTGAGAAAGACGAGAATAATTAGAAATGCTTTGTAAGATTACATTAATCTCAAAATTAGGAGTTACATCTAAATTGACACGCTCTTTTTGTATTCTTGATCTTATCATTCATTTCATCGAAAATTGTTTTCAATATTTTTTTCGATCAGAAATTAATAAAACAAAAGACTAAATTCAAATATGTCGTTTGCTTACTGTGTTATTCGGGAAGAGTTATAAAATGAAAAATCACTGAACGCATAGAAAGTGTACAGAATCAACTAAAAAATGATTGAAGCGCGTTAGTAGGGATAAAGAAAGAAATGATGCTTCCACATCAGGGGTTCTCTCGAGCATCTCGCCGCTGCGTGAGGGTCTCGTCTTCAGTTTTCCTTCCTCTCACGGAGGGGGCGTTGTTACGTGATATATTTTTATTCCTCATATTTTTTTATTGCGATGATAGGTTAGAGAGCGAGTAGAGAGTAGCATACGAGCTGACGTGCCAAAGGAAAGTGTACGTGAGTGTCTGTGTGTATGTGCGTGTGTTGTGCGGAAGAAAGGAAGAGGAGAGAAAGCAGGAAGAGAACATTCAAGAGGACGAAGCTTCAATATCTTTCTTAGAGCCACGGCTACCGAGTCATGATATTATATACGCAAAGCAAGCTGTCGTCGCTCGAGGGGACTTTAGAGAGCTTCCGCTTTTACGGCTTATACATCGTATCCTCCAAGGAGCGATCATCGTGCATGATAAAGTCTCGTTAGTGAACAGAATGGAATAACCGAGCAGTAAAGATCTGAGAGATCGTACGATGACCTATTAATAATAATAAATCAGCCGTAATCCTTTTGAATTTTAACGTGTGATTCAAGAGATGTATTTCCAATCCTCGAACCCTTCCGCTAACGGGGCACCATTCTACGGTGCTATAGATAGAGACTGGATTAGAGTGTATAACGAAAGGACAGAAGGGTGAATAATAATGATATGGATAAAGTTTCTTCTAGGGTTAATCATGCAAGATGTATGTGAGAGGTTTCGAATCGCTTTTCGAAGTCGCATATCATTCGTTAACCCTTGATCCCGAGCATGTTCTAAGTTTGTAACTCGATCTTTTGTGGCGGGATCGGAGCTTATTTTTTTACAGGGTTGTAAATTATTAATCAGTTTTGTTCCAAGGGGAGTGATTTCTTGATCGATATAAGCGCGAGCGGTTGTGCGAAATGGTACTTAATTGTTGTTTATCATTTGATAAAGAAGAATCGAGTGTAAACATGTATTTGCCTTTGCTCGCGTATATGTAGGTACGAAAGAGAAACTGTTAGCTTCATGAAAGGTAAATATGCTTCCATATGTTTATTTTATATATGTATTTATGGAATAAGAACTGAAAACTTCTTCCATGGACGATTTTATTTCCAAGTTTACTTGCACCAATATCAATGAAAATTGGAAAAGTTTCTTTTCCAAGAAGAGACTGTTTCTAACTGATGTCAGCTAAGTTTAACTGTAACTATTGTTGTATCTCTTTACAGAACTAAAACTAAAAAGAATGATTTGTTTAAAATAAAATTGATCTTAAAGATAGTTGGAGAATCTTAATAAACTCGTTAACAACAGAAGACTTTTTTAATTAATAGATTAACAGTAACTGATTGTTTACCCTTAGAATTAATGATTAATTATACAGTTATTTGCATAATATACCTACTTGAAACATATATATCATAAATCATAAGATGAATCCAGATATACGCGAGCGAAATGATATGTATGCGGAGTGATAGTAAGTGCAATCAAGACGTAGGATACATTAACATATCATGTCCTGTCATAGACACATGTGTGAAATTTTACTGTGCTGTGGACAAGCATACTTAAGCGTTAAACGCAAGCTAGAGTGCGGGCTGTGAATAATGCATCTTTTTGCGGTCGAACGAATCACGAGAAGGAGCAGGACAGTAATCCGGCTCATTGCAATGACAGGGAGACGCTATTAACATCCTTTTCCGCATCGCGCATCAGCGATCAATACCTTATCCCCTTATTTCAGGACTCTCTAACCCATCCAGCGACTTTCCGAAGTCGGACTTTTGATCTGTCACTTTGCATTTTACGGTTTTTGAAAAGCTCTTGTTGAAATTTTCCACTAAATTGCTAACATCAATCATTTAAATTTAAAACAATAACTAAATGAATTCTATATTGTTACGTTATTTATTTATTTATAAACTAGGTAGAATTTGAAAAATATCAATAAGATTTGTTATTTGATTTATTTTTACTTAATTTTTATCTATGAGCAATGGAATCACAAATGCGAAGTGATAAATGTCATAATTGCTTGGTTGAGGTAGAAATCAGCTAACGTTCGTGCTATATACAGGCATATACACGAAGATTCCGATTGAAAATGTATAGGATATGCGGAAGATATATTAGGTGTGCGCTTGATGCGTTCTTATTATCGTTCCTGTGATTGAACATTCCGATGTTGTTATTGATCTGAAGATTATCAGTTTATACGTTCCATTGTCATTTTTACATGTGACTTGAGTTCCAAGAGCGCACTATCAGAATTATTTAATAATTTTATTTTTATTGTTCATTAGACGTAAAATAAGAATAGAATGCAATGACTCCGATAGCGATCTCTTCGATCGCAGCTTTAATCTCCTCAGACCTAAGACTTCTAAGTCTAAATATTTTCATAATGAAACAATTTTTTGAATTAAAAAAATAATTAGAAAATTACAAGCACAGATAACAAATACTTTCTTAAAAGAAAGTATATTCTAATAAAGATAAAATTTTCATGATTTTAGTACAAATATAACGAACAAAAAGACAAGATCATACGTAATATTTATTACGTTCCTAGAAATATATTCATATGTTTGATCTTAAAATATAATTACGTTCAATAAATTGTACAAGTAGAAAATTATATAAAAATTCTAAAAACGTCGCATAGAAATGTAGAAATAAATCGTAAAATGATTTTGTTTTGAGAAAAGACAGTAATTGACAGTGAAATCATTTTATTTATAAATAAAATTACAACGTAGATTATATATTAAAGGTCTGAGAAAAATAACAAGAAGTTCGCAGAACTCTAAACTAAAATGTAATTTTGTTATGAGATGTAATTGTCTTGAATATTTTTCATTAAGCGGATTACTAATTAATTTGCTGCCATTGAACGAAAAGCGAAGCGAATGTGCGAGGAAATAACCAATAAGGGATAATATTTCAGTGTAATTTTTAAGAGAAAACGTTGTATCATATATTATTGCCGTTATCGATTAATCGGGAATATCTATAAGTTAGAATAGATATGAAAGAGGACATTCAACGTGCGCCATAAAAGGAATATAAGTCAGTTTTCAAAGGATGTTAAATTGTTTCAACATTAATCGTATAATCAAAATAAAACTATTGATAAAATTACGGTATTATGTAAATTTTTTATTTCTTTATCTTTTTTTTATCTACAGTTTAGAATATTCTATTTTCATATCTATTATTATATATTAAACATACTCAATTAAATTATAATGAAAATAATTTATATATAACACACACACATACGCAGGACTGTTAAATAATTATAAGAACCGGGTACTGTTATTTTATTTTTGACTTATAATTTTTTGGAGCACGCTGTATCTCAGGTGTGTCGTGTAAAGTGATCCAGTTGCAATGTTAAATTGCAATATAAAAGAAGTTTTGTTTTTCGGAATTGCGTGTAATCAAATTAAACTTTTTCTCTATATTTTAAAGTTGTGATTGGATTCATTTACGCGGGACACGTATCATGAATATGCCAGGCAAATTTGGTGTGTTCGATTGCCGTACGAGAACTGAATATCATTGTCCTATTCCTTAACGTTTTGAAGAGCTTCCGTCAAAATGACGAGACTTTTATACGTACCTATATCATGCACACGGATTTTTGCGCACACATGGAATGTAATGGAAGATTTATTTATCAAAGTCAGAAGGAGAGAGAAGAATTATACTTCACGGCGCGGCGCATAATTGCGACAGTTATGTAGTTATGTAGTTTTACGATCAATTTATTATTACTGTATAGCTGTTGTTATGCTAGGTTGATAAGAAATCGTTTGAAGCGTGGAGTGCAAATATTTTTTTAATACACCTATTGTTACCGCAAAGTGCGGTTCTCGTGCGGCGATTGTTAACACCAGTCTCAAATAAGACAAGATAGCGATTAAATATAAGCAGCATAAAAAATAATTGTTAAGTATTTATATGAGAAGATAGGCGACAGAGAAAGAAAGAAAGACAAACAAATGACGAAGCACCCAGGCGTAATATAATTACGATGTGTAATATGTATATTATATATGTGATATATTATTCCGTCGCTAATTAGAAAGCGTCAGGGAGTATTCAAAGCGCGGACACGAGGACTTTTCGTATTGTTATATTGAACTGTCAACGCGAGATGAGAAGGTATTCTTGCGAATAATTCGAGAAAGGAGTAAGGCGTACATAATTATGACTTTTCTGAGAGTATTTCTGTAACTCTAGCGAATGTGCGAGATAAGTCGAGTTTAAACTTGTATATGTATAAAAAATCGAACGAAATATACTGAAACTTTTCGGAATATTTTCCGAATTTTTGAGATTGCAACATTTGCAGAATTATCGAAATATGTATTTCGGGAATTTACGTAGTATTTTCAGATATTTTCCAAAAATTCCTATAATATTACGATATATAAGTATATTACATAAAATTTATCAGAATATTCTGAAAATATTTTCAAGATATTGTATCCGTATTAGACGGTCAGAATATCTTCTCTATAATGTATAATAAGATACTCATCTCGTGTTTCATTGGTTTGATATCTATCGAAAAGGACAACTAATGTAATTAAGAAAAGAATTTATTATTTTTAAAAACAGCCTAATTTCTGATTTTTACAAAAATTCATCAAAAGGAAAAAATTATAAGATTGATGAAAAAATCTTTATAAATTGGCTGAGAAAAAGAATTAAAAAGTGTCTAAAAATAACGGATACATATAAAAAACTATCCTCGTGTACGTAATTGGCTTCTTCTCGATTTACCAGAGCGTCTGGAAGACTATTCATTTTCACAAATTACATTCATGATGTACTGAAAAAATAAATTTCTGTTAAAACATATTTTTCTTTCTCTAATTTTAACACCATATCCTTTAAAAAAAAAAAAGTTCTATTCCGATAATCTATTTAATTTGTGATAATATCGTTGATAAAATAAAACCTATCGACATAATTTTTCACGATTCTGAATATAAAATAATCAGTATTGATGGGATTAATTAATCCTTGCAATGCAGAATAAATCGATATTCGGATTCGTTTTAATAAAAGAAGGGGGATTTCATTTTTCTTCCATGCAGGGATAAATCGTCAGAAGATGCGTACATGTCAGAGATACATACATATATTTGATTCGTGCTGCTTACGGACTACGAACATTTAGCGCAAAATGTATATAACATTCCCGTGGTAATACATACGATGCACAAGTGCGATGACAATGTGCAATTAGTGCACAGTTATGTAAAATGACCGTCATTTCGAGCTCGTTATCGGCGCACATATTTGGACGTCCGGCCTGAGATTTACATCGCCATTAGTCCGTACGTGACAAAATAATGTAGTTAAAAGTAGCTTTTAACTTCTTTTTGATCACAAATATATCTTGGCACTGTAAAACTCAGGCATCTAACTTTTTAATTGTAAAGAAAATTATTGATGAATATAAATATAATTTAGACGGTTTTTCATCCATATTAAAACTAAATTTCAATATTTTATGTTTATAAAAATTGTTTGTACGTACAATTAAGGATATAAAAAAATCTGAATTTGTAGATAAATATTCTATTTTTTTACATGAAAATTATATTAATAATTAATAATATATAAAAATTTTCATGTAAAAATAGAATATTTATCTACAAATTTCCTTTTTTATATTTAAAAAATAAAAGATGTTTCCGAGAATTTGGATAAAAAAAGTATTAATGTATACGAAAGAGTTTCCATTCCGACTATTTCATGCATCATCTCGCGATAAATTCTGCAAACCTACGAAAATTTTCCATAAGAGTATAACTACCTTAGAATCGATATAATCTAAAAATGTTTCTCTTCGAATATAACATTTTGACTAACGGACAGTAAGTTATCATATAATATATTATATTTGCTATATCTTCTTTGAAATCGAAGCCCTCTGCAACTTACTTATTCACAAGAATAACCAAATCGACAATCGTATCACGCAGAAACAAAGATCTTAATGCTATCCAATAAGACGTTATCACGATAATTACGTACAGATACGATATCTAAAACCAGAATACAATATATTTACGATTTAACAATCGATAAATTAAATATCAATATAGTTAACGCTAAATCATGTTAACGCTTTTCGGTTATTTACGGCATTATTACGCCCTATCAACTATTACGCGCATGTATACATCAACACATTAATATTTAATATGCATATGTAATATTGCGATATTTCGATGGCAATCCTTTGCCATCGATATTATCAATGAAATCTCCATCAGCATAACAAGTCCATCTGACAAATTTAATCCCCCTTCGAAGAATATAAAAATTTCCTTCGAAATATATAAAAATTCCCTTCAGGAGTATAAAATTTCTGTGTAACGTATGAGCTATTTGTAAATAATATCTAATAACACACGTAGAACATAACGCGACGATATTCATTTATAACAAATGTCATTTTTGCGAAAAACTTATCGAATTTTAACTAAGAAATAGTCCAGCTATTCTATCAAGGACTTGACCATTAACAATTACGTAAAAGAACATCTCTAACCAGCAACGTAATAGGGAATCGATCTACGAAACCTGTCGTTTTTTTCAATTCTCTTTTTTTTTGTTCGTTTCTTTTCTTTTAACATTTTTAACAAAAATAACAAATGTATATTAACTCTGGAATTTACATACGTATTTTTATGTGACCAGATTTCACTCGAAAATTGCTCTAAAGTAATTTAGCCGCGCACTGCACCGCGTAAATATACGTATGTAAAACATTGGAATCATATATGGAATTAAAATATGGCAGCGATATTTTTCGATTTGGACGGGATATATTTTTAGACGAGGTTCAGTGTATCTTCGCGTATTTATTCGTCGAAATTTTGATTTAATGTGTAATTCAAGTATCTTGATGCAAGCAACACAATAACTGATATCCATAATTTTATTATTTTTTTACTATATGTATATCTCAATTACGTATTTCATAATAATTTCTACATAAATTCTTACTTTAGAATAAAATAATAAATACTTGATTACGTTAATTACAATTTATCAAGAACATAAAGTTTATAAGTTAATTTAAGTTAATTTAATTAAATGTTAATTAAATTAATTTTGAGTGCGAATATAGCATGGAAGATAGCGCACTGGTCTATCTATGCCAGAAGTCCCGGGTTCAATCCTTGTAGAAACCAAAATATGTGCGCTCGTGTCTTCTCTCGTAAAAGGCCAGCAACCTTCCGAAAGTATTCTTGTTTACAAAAATACCTTTCGAAAAATCCGCTGTTCGGAACCGACATTAAAATTGTAAGTCCTATATATTTGTAGGAATTAAATAATCAGTGTACACTCCACAAGCATATGAGAGAGGTGTAACACAGACCAGAAGTTTAATGTAAAAGGAAGAAGAAGGAATTCATTTTAGAAAAATGCTTTGTTTAATAGATCATCTGTTTGAGCATTGCATCAAGACTTTCAATTTTCCGATGAACTTTAAAATTTAAAATTAATTTTATTTCTTTGTGCACAGTCATAAACTTTATGAAAACGCGAGTTATAAGACACTAATTTTAATCTATTTTCCAGAGTTAATACCATTAAAAACGATAAAAAGTGTCTTAATTCTTAACATTCACACTCTCGTTTAATAATGTTTGTGCGATATGTATGTAAAGTAATTGGCACAGGTTAGATATATGTATATAGGTATATATTAGTACGCATTATACAAAATTCATTAGAAATTGATCCCACCCCGATTACCGCGATCTCTCTGCTGCCAGTTGATTTCCTCTTTAATATCGAGTATCAACGTCATTGTATGTGATATGAATCACTCGCAATCTTTCCAATCTTTCCTTCTAACGAATACAAGAAACCCCAGACTTAATAGTTTCATTAAGATCACACAAAATAGACACCGTTGCGTCGGCGTCCCCTCTGGCTCTCTTCAGCGTTCAATAAAAATATTAATAATCGGTGAAGATCGCCGCCTTTCCGAATCTTAAATTCGCAATCGGAAGCTGCCGATATAATTCGGCGAGGATTTTAATGGTTGCCGTTAGTCTTTTTGGATTGGCCGTTGTCCGAGAGGTGTTTCCAGAGGCCTGTGATCAACGGCACATCCCTGAAACTGTCAGCCGCCGGCTATTTTGCCTGCTACGAACATATCAAATCGACCGACCTGGACTCGCCCCAGGCATTTTGCACTTTGAAACCGGCGTTCGGTCGGGGCACCACATGGTGAGCTGGAGTGGATGCCGTTGTATGGTGCCTAAGTGTTGTCATAGGAATACTGTTGTTACTCGCTGCGCTTTTCTTTGGATTTTTTTTCACATCTGAATCCTCCTCAAAGCATACCTGAAAAGAAACGAACGTTTCATACTACTCGACAAATTTTTATCTCTTTTCCTCTATTTTTATTTAATTCTAGGAAATTATAAACTACAAGTAATTTCGATTAATTCAATTACTTCTTTATATATATATATATAAACTGCCCCTTTTTAAGTGTAAAACATTAATTTCGGAATTTTTTAATCTCTTTAGAATTCTGTTGAAATAGTAAAACAACAGAAGTGAATGCTAAATATGATAAATATATGTATGTTAATATTTTTATTTTAAGACTTTTAAGAGCTACACACACTGATTTGAAGAGTAGCGGACAAAATTTCTTTTAGCGCACCTAAATCCAGGTAAATATAAACCACATGTATGTTTAAAGTTCCTGTTTAAAGAATAAATAAAATAACTACTATTTCAGATATTTTAATTTTGTTTCAAATATTTTCCTTCTGAAAAGGAGCAACTTTTTACATCCTATGACGGGATGCAGATCAATGACGTATATACATAGCAACGCGATACGTAGAGTACCTATCGATGAGATGTAGCAAACTAGGAAGGGATCAAACGCCGTGGGATTATAGTATAGCTTTGCTGATCGGTCGGTTTTTGCTGATCGACGACGACGACGACAACGCATCAAAGAGAAACTCTCAACGTTTCACCACTCACCCATGAATTTCCCGTTGGTTTGGGATCGTTTGACAAATCAATTAAAAGATTTTTCTGACTATCGTTGCACCGCTGTTGACCGTTCTGCTTATTTTGTTCGTTAATCTTACCAGTAGTAGTCTTTGTTTCACTGATGCTCTTCTTTTCATTGTTTTCTGCAATTAAAGATTCAGAATAAATGATATTAAACGAAAAAATAACGAGAGATGTATATGTCGGTTATGAAAAATATAGTTATCTTTAACAGAAAAATAGATTTATCTCGTAGAGCATTGCGATACGTTAAATAAATTAATTATTGTCCATTTGTAATCTGTGTTTATTTGCAGGAATTTTAGTGCGTAAAAATCCTATGTGACAATTCTGAAGCTTTGTATATGTGTTGAATACTAAAATCTTGTTTTTCATGGAATATCGTGATAAAAGATTGAAAATATAAATTTAATTTAGATGATAAAAGAAAAATATTTATTTCCAAAATGAAATGCACGTGAGTTTTAGTAAAACTCTGCACTCAAATATTTGATGCAATATGCAGAAGCAAAACATTTCCATGCACAATCTCCATAAAATAAAATTCTTAAAAAAGACGATTTAAAAATCAATAAAACAGTTTCACGATATAAATCAAGAATCAACTCGATTAATTATAAAAATATTTAATCTAACAAATCTACCCTTTTGATACGAACTTTAATATTTCAAAAGCGATAAGAAATCAGCGGCACCAAGTATTGAATGAAAAGAAAACAAGAAGTCTCTTTCTAGAAAAAATTATTTATATGTAACTCACAAAAGTTTTTCAAAATAAAAGAAAGAAAACGGAAAATTAAATAAACGTGAAATTGTATGAATTAGAGTTAAGCTCTTTTGGAAGCTTAATTCTAATACAATTCATAATTCGCAGATTTTAGGCTAATAGTATTCTATTTATAATTTTACTTTTGATATGTTATAATTTCTATGTTCATATGTACTTCAATATATATTCTAAGTATACATTATATTTACACTTATTTTGTGTCCTTTCGTATTATATGAAACAGAATTTTAAATAGAATTCTGTCTTGAATTTCGATACATGTTATACAAGTAGATCATATCTAGAACGAACTTTAAATATAGAATTAGAATATTGTGTTACTTTTTATTTGGATAAAATACAGGTAAAAAACAGGGAATTGTAATCGAGATCCCAAAGAGAGAAACTGTAATATTTTCTGCTGGTATATTTATCGAAATAGCACATGTGACACAATGCATTGTACAATGTATGCGTTGGTGTGTGCCATCCTGATATTAACGTACTATTTCCTGATTCTCTTGCCAGGTGCCAGGAGGCACCGCAATATCCGTACTCTCGGTGGTTAAGTGCAATGCATATATAGGCACTGCACTTTACGATCAACGCAGCAGCTATACCTCTTTATATACTATACTTGCGCGAGCGAGCTCGAGATTACGGCAAGTGGCAAGCTTTCCAAAGTGTAGAAATGAGAGCCAACTGCATTTCTAATTACCATGACTTTATACGTAATGATACGAAGTAGTATTTAATTTTTCCATGAGCTGTAGTAACTTATAATACAACTCCTTATAAGAGTTGAAGATCTCAACTCTTTCTATATTAATAATTTATATGTAATCTATGTAATTTCTCAAAATTGAAAATTCTGATTTTGTCTAAATTACCTACTCTAATTACAAGTTTTTAAAGATTAAAATTTTTCTTCTTTTAAATTTAAAAAAAAATTGCTTCACTAGTTATTGATTTTTTAAAAGACTATAAAATTTATTATGACTATATCGTAAAGTTCAATAAAAAATATATATATATAATTTTCATATCACACACACAATTCAAAATAGAATTCTATTTATAACTCAACAAGATCGAATAGTTGATTTCTGTTAATTTTCCTTTAAATTCCTTCAACTTCTTATTTGAATTTTTTCTTACGTTTTAACGGAAAGAATAATCTCTGTCACTTCAAGACATTCAAGACTATCAAGAAAGTATACTAATGCGAAAACTTTCTCACCAATCCTGTCACCTGTCGAGGGAGGACTCTTATCCTGTGCGTGATGGATTCTGGGATCGGACTGCGACAACTGCCACGCCTGATAAGCTGTGTTGAAGGCCTGCGCCACAGTCAGCGTCACTGTCTGCGCCATTTTTCTCTTCGGGCAAAGAAATGCATGGCACTCCATCGTCTCGTTGAGATTCGTCGCGATGAACGCGAACACGTGATCGTGTGTCGCATCTGCTGAGCAGTACGAGATCCTGAAATAAAAAGAGAACAAAATAAAAGTTAGAATTACCAGAATGAGTTTTTTTTTTAACTAATTTATTCTCAATCTCTATACAAAGAAAGAAAAACTATTTTTTCTATTAATAACAAATAAATTGTCTTTTTTTTCAACTAATGTGGTGGATAACACTTTTATCTTCATTGAAGAAAATAAAATTATTATCCGCCATTAATTGCTTTCGCACGCTTTAATAATATTGTTAACAATGGTGATAATTTAAATCTTTCTCGTGACGCTACACCAGTCTGCACGTACATCCGGCGAGACGCAACTATGATATGTAAATCCACGCCCATCGCTCGCAGCAGCAACCACTTCCGTTTATGTCGCACGACAATATTCGCTCGCTGCGTATAATAGTCGAAAGTTTGCTGGAGGGCACTTAGGCGAATTCTAAATTCCCTGAGGGAAGCGAGAGTAATATGGTACTGAGCATGAGCAAGATGCATCACAGTTACAAAAAAAATGGATACAGTGAGCTGACGTTTTATGGGCTCCTTATCAAAATAAAATTCCTATCTTTTATTTAACAAGCTCTATCGGTGTACTACTCATATTAATTTATAATCAAATCATGTTATAATCAGTTGATAATAAACATATATTGCGTGTAGTACCTATATATTATAATAATATAATAATATAAATTTCAAAATTATATTGATATTGTATATCGCGAAAGATACAATACTATATGTAAACTAATAAATAATAATTTAATACTTTATGTGATGACGATTCTTTATACAAACATAATAACCACATAGAATAATTTCTGTTTCTTTGCACAGAGCTTCTTTGCAAACACCGATTTTTCTCGCATTTTTATTCTTTTTCGCGTGTTCTTTTTTTCTTTCCCGCTCTCCCCCTTCTCTTCTTTAATCTCTTTTCTTTGCCTCTCTTTTAGTATCGCAGTTTTTAAAGTTACGCTATTACAGGCGAGAGCCGATAACGCCATCGGCTCCGAAATAATGCTCTTTAATGCTTTTAATCCTACGGCTTAATTTTATTCAGCCGCACGTCTTTGCACGCTGGTTAATTAACTCGCCATTAACGATGCCGAGCGGCGAGATTAAGAGAATTTATAACCGGCACGTCAACCTTCGCCGCGCTCGTTGTCGTCGTTCTTTTTTTACGCGTCCCGTGAAATTTCTCGTTCGCCACTTTAGCGCACCTCCGAGCGCATTATGCGCTAGAGGAACAAAGCCAACCACCCCGGCGGGCTTTCAACGTAACAATGGAAACCACCGCCTGGTATTTCACACAGTTGCCGGTCTAACGAGTCCGTGGGATCATTATCGCGAGAAAAGTTCGTTTCATTCGTTCATTCGTTTGCATCGCACGAAAATTCGGCGAGAATCTTCTAAAACGCGACGCATTTTCCAACCTTATTTTCATTGTACACTTTTCTGTCCCCTCCCCCTCTCACCCGACACTTTTATTATGATTTTATCATATCTCTGTAATAATCTGACTGAACAATTGTTACTTTTTTTATATTTAAGAGTCAAATAATTTTTTAATATTTATTAGACTCTAGACATATTTCGTCGATCATTTATCGTTCTACTGGACGTTCTATTGAGCATGAACTGAATTTTTTTAGAAGACGAAAGACAAAAACACACTGATCTTCCAGATTGATATTACGAAAAATTAAAATCACATTATACTGATAATTTTTTATGCGAATAAATAATAACAAAAAAAAACACAAATACAATTGAAAGATTCTTAATTGTGCAATTAGGTATGAATTTTTTTAGATCCACTTCTTATGAATAAAAATAGATAACTTGTAGTATAAGAATCCTGTATGAAGATTGAAACACAGATTGAAAGAGTTACGAATAATATATAATAAATTGAATTATATAAAAACAGAATGTGAAATATCACTTTTTTATTTGTATACACAACATATTTATAATTAGATTTTATATTTTATTTCGATGACATATGTATACTCAAAATCCAGTTTTGCTATTAAAATAATGTTCTTTTTGATAATTGAAAAATTTTGTTTAACAGCATCTACGGTGCATAAAATGTTACAAATAGAGACTAATAAAACAATCGTTATCAGTGAACACTGCGCGTTTTATAATTTTCTCAGCCATTAATAAGACTGAAAATATCGCATAAACTGCAAATTGACTGACAGCCTGAAAAATGAGAGAGAGAGAGAGAAAGAGGGAGGCTTCGTGGGTCGGAAATAGTCTCGCGCCTGTAATTTCCCGTAACAAATATCGAAATCGCGCACGCTCGCTGTATCATCACCCTCACGTCGTCGTTACGTGGAATTGTTGATGCACTCCCAGGCGTACGTATATTTATATGTACAACGAATATAATTCAACACCGGATCGACAAAACATGCAGCAAACTGCGACGAGTTTCACTTCGTGCGATTAAAATTTTAGTCGGGCTGGCGCGTGGAAAACAATTATTCATTATCGTAGTTCGTTCGTTAAAGGAAAAAAATGTTTTCTTCGGGGAAATATACATTGTATCCTTTTTTCATGGAATTTATTTGTTCTAATTTCATAATACTCTATGTTTCACATAAATGTTTAAGAAAGTTTTATTTATAAGTTTAACGCAATGTAATGCAGTATATTAACAAATTTTTACAAATTATAATAATACATAGTAAATGGTTCTCTAATCGTATTTGAGATTAATCTGTAATTTAATAATTAATGTATTATAATTGTCTCACCTGTATATCGACACCTGAAGCTGATCCTCTTCGGTGGCTAAATCCGTCATTCTAATTCCTCTCAAGCTCACAGCCAACGAAACCCTTTGCAACTTTTTCCCGCTTGCCTTCGCCTGTAATTAAACAAAACAGAATAAAAAATTATGCACCAGAGCATCCAACAAGAGAATTTAATTTAATAAAAATATCTTTATTCTCTCTGACAAATTTGTTATAGCTGAATAGTAATCTGACGTATCATAAAGAAAGAAAAATATATATAATACATGTTTTATAAAAACAGAATAATAATATCGAATTCCAAAAAATCTTTGAGTCTCCATTTTGCAGCTCTCAAACAGCCATCAAATATTTGAGCATTAAATATGTAAAGTTTAATAAAAAAAAATATATATATATAATAAAATATAATATATTTAATTTTTAATCACTTTATACTTTAATCTCTAATTATAATATTATTATTTTAATTTTTAATTCTCATTTCAAAGTTAAACAATAATTTTTATGTTCTGAGATTTGATGTGCATTTCTATAGAAAAGATGAAAAATGTAAAAAGAAAAATTTGCAAAAATTTTAAATAACTTTTTATTAAAGCAACATTCTTTTCCTTAATTCGTTTCCTAATATCTGCGGCTGGCAGAACATCCTTTTTCTCTGCCATGTGAATACTCAAATCTCAAGAGGATCATCTGATAGATCATCTGATCGAATAGCAAATCTCTATCGATTTCGTTCTATTGCATCGACAATCATTTCGTCGTTTGCTTGAACAGAAGGCGATGTTTACTGAAGCATCTGGTGTAGACGCATGCCTAAGAGTAAATCCGAGTGAAGTGAAGCAACAGCTCGATTACCTTTTTCGGAAATCAAATATCTCGTTGTTGCTAAACCTGAGCTCTCTCGCGTCGCTCCATTACAACGCAATTACGGGTCTTCGCGCGGATTAAGCGGTCCATTTAACGATTTAACTCGCGCATGGAGATTCCACCGCCTTAATCGCAAACGTCGCACGAGAGATTCCAGGACGTCCCTTAATCCGATAATTCTGAAGCGGATTCTGCATAAAGTCCCTCTGCCACGGACGCGTTATTGTAGAAGGGATACAGATTCACTGAATATCTTCGCAATTTAATTAAATTTCCGGAGCACATATTTATCCCGCTCGGAAATGTCACTTTTATCAAAATATATACAATGAAAATATCATAAATATAGAATTTGGAAATTTAATTAAATTTAAATTGCAGTTTTTGCTTCATATAGAAAAAATTAAGGATACAGAAGAAATATTATATAGACTTTCGTGTATATAAAAAAAAGGGAATTTAATAAAGATATCAACTTATTAATACTTGTAACTTATTAATACGGATTACAAATTAACATTGTTGCTGGATAATAGAAAATATTGTGGTTTGTGTATTTCTATCTAGATAGAAATGAAATCTTTCTTTAGTTTAGGTATACGTAATCAACGTTAAAACGATCAAACACAAGAATCTAATTATACGATGAAAACGCAAACTTTGCATGCATTAAATTCCATATTTGTGATTTATCAACGATGTATTAACGATGTTAACATTTGTAAAATTATTTCGCGTGGCACTCGAGCTTTTAATTACAATAAATTCTTTGCTCGCTTTTATTTAAATAACAATTACTAGAATTAAACGAAAAGAGGATTGATATTCACGTTGTTTCAAGCAAAATCCATGGAAATATTTGCACATAAAGTTCCGCAATGGATTAACGAATCCTTTCACAAAAAGAGAAAAACTTCGTGCAGAGGTAACTAAACTCGAATCCCATTAACACAAATCCCTTCATTAATTTTTTTAATACAAATAAAGATTTTTTATTTGTCGCGTTTAATCTGAAACAAAAGCGTGCCAATTCGATAATAATTTTTGATAGTTATATTTGTTGTGAGAAACTGATCGAACAAATATTTCGTGCTCCTTCGATAAGTTAAATATCCCAGTTCACTTTATCATTTATTTTGTTTCAGGAAGAGACTCGAGAGTGAAATTCAACATTTTTTAAAGCAAATCTCAAATTCTTTCTTCGTGCGACTTTTTTTCATTTACGATTTATAGAGTCCTAATCCAAGGCGCGCTTTACTTCTCCTTGACGAAGCAAGCAACGAAAGCAGCAACTGACGTCTAGTAATTATTTATATCTATATTAATCCGGATTACATATACGTTATAAGTAATCTAGGGCGTCTTGTACCAGTAGCTTCTTGCTCGCAAATACTGAATAGCATTATCAGCGAGAACTTGCAGGAGTTGTAGGTAGTAACTACATGACGGAAATGCGGAGTTGCCTTTATGGTCCCGACATGGCAAGATGACGCTGTTGAACGCGCGAATAACTCCTGCTTCGTGACAGAAACATCTTAATCAGTAACTTAGAGTAAATTATTTCGAAATTACAAAAATGAAAAAGTTTCTCTGCTTAACAATTGGCAAAGAAGAACATATAACGCCCGAAGAACAGTACAATGGACTCGGTATATCTATTATAGATGACAAAATGAAAATTATATAAATTTCACAAATTATTGCAAATTAGTTTCTCTAGTAGAAGAAAGAGACGTAAATAAGCGAAAGGATTTATCGTTGTCAACGTGAAACAATAAAGGCTGCCATAGAGATGGAAAAGATGCCCATCCAATCCAGTAAATGAATGCGATGCTGCGAAGAGGAACTAACAATAATGGACGCAATTACGCAGGTACAAAAGACGATGAAAGAGGATCAATCGAAACAGACGAACCCGAAGAGGCAATTAGCGCAAAGACGAGATGCAATGAACACTTCAATCCGGAAGTTGCCGACGCGGAATACGATTGGGTGCGTCGAAAAACTTTCAAATCAGTCGAAACCCAGAAAGTTCGCAAAAAATAGCTGTTTGATCGCGTTGCAGCAAAATCGCTCGAATAAACACAGTTTAATGCAACACCAACGACCTACATTGTATAATGCATACAAGGTACACTCGTCGATCGCATTTTTGAAATTCTGATAAATGATCTGTAGAAAAAGAGATAATTACAAATTGCAAGAAATTATCCCTGAGGATTTAAATAATGTGAAAGGCAGTGTTTTAAGAAATTAGTGAAAAGAGAGACAAGGAACTAAAGAAAAGTAAAGTGGATAGGATTATGGATTGAACTTCTTTATAAGGTATATTTACATTATTACTGGCAAACTATGAAAAAGTTGTAACATTAGAGAAGGTATAAGAGGACACGTGAATAAGGGAAAAGATGAGTGTTTTATATAATAATTGCGCAATAGCAGAACGAACATGACGTTAATGTAGATTTGGAATAATATAATAGATAGTAATAGGTATAGAAAAGTGGATAGGGACTATAAAAAAGGTTATGATATGTAAAATAAGAAAATGTATGTAAATTTGGATTTAGAGAATAGTAACATTTTGTGATATGAATGTAGATCAGTATAAAAAATAGAATTAAAAAAATGATATGATACGTAAGATAGGTAGGTTAAATTCAGGTATAATATATATGATAACATTTTATTATTTTAACAGCGGATTCTCAGCCAGTAAGCATGAGATATGGATGAAAATGTATGACTAAGTGAAACTGTAATCCAAGTCCTTCCTTAACTTTTGTCAACTGAAATAAATAAATTTTTCTTCAGAAATTCTGTAAGTAATATTTGTATTATAAATACTAAAAAAATATAATGAAACAATGTAAGTTGTACATTAATCTCAAAAATTATAAGTTATAATATATTATTGATATTTCAACGTGTAAGCATTTTTTATTATGAATATATAATAGATATATATATTGTAGATTTATTTTTATCGGATCTATATATGTATCAGTGTAAACACTATAGATTATATTTATTGTAATGAGAGAAATTCTGGTATACGCGTTTTCATCGTGTGTTGACTGAATCCCTTCATTAATAACTGCATCAGGAGGAAATTGCCGAAATACATACATTACCGCTTTCTGCAATACTGTCCATGTAATCTCGCGATATGAGTTGTAATCGCTTCGAAATTGGAATTATATGAGACGCGGACGAAGTTTCGTTATTAATTAATCATGTTCCTCGGATCGCTACTAAATCACATAAATTCATTTTCCTCTATCGATTATGCTATTCAACAAGGATTTCGCTGCTAAACTAAATTGAGAAATTGATAGAACTTTGTAATTTCATATGATAATTTCTTCTAACAATCACTATCACAATTAATCACTTTTGTTTTCGTCACAATACGTTATTGCCACTTTAATTCGCATATAATTCTAATAAATAAACGATATTTAATATCGATTTTCTATTAAGATACCAGAATATGTATACACTGAAAGAAAGATTGGCTAAATATGGCATAGCATTTTTAATTGGCTGCAATAGCTAACTTTTAGTTGCAGCAGTCAATTTTTAGTTACAGCACCCACTGCGGATGGCTAATGCGACCAAAAATTGGCTACTGTAACAAAAAATTGGATGCTACAGCCAATTAAAAACAATATGCCATATTTCACCGTCTAAATTATGCAGCAGTTACTCTTTTCTTTCAGTGTACTGTATTTGAAGTACATGAAAATTTTTCAAAAAATAAATTGAAAATTTTTAACAGAACAATTTTTTCTCAATAAACATCCATGTTTAATAAAACGTTAAAAATGACGAAATTGATGATATTTTTGCGTACGAAAAAAGCAATACTAGTTTCGTCGGAACTAATATTAGCAGTACTCGCAATATTTCACATACGAAGTCAAAAGTAATTAGCGGACGAGTGGAAGTTGGATCAATCAAAAAACGGCATTTCTCATTGATGCTGTTTTCGAATTTACCTTTTTTATATACTTTTTTTGTCTCCGGTGTTCTTAAACATTAATAAGCATAATTGCAAAACACATGATTCGAGATCCGACTTTAATGTCAATCGCTAGAGAGAATCCAGATGATATTAACAACATAAATGAAAAGAAAGAAAAAATAAAGAAATGCCGTCAGTCGCGACAAAGACAAAGTAGTAGAATAAACGTGGCGCAAAGTAATCACGCTTCATTTTCATTAGCTCTATTAACGAACCCGCGGCTATGCGCGAGAAATTAGTACCTTGCAATTTCAATTAAATTCTCTTCACGGCGGCTGCGTCGGAAAATGGTTGAAAGTAAATTACACGGTGCGATACAATTCCAACGATAAATAATACAGTGGCAATTTCCAACGCAAGCGGCAAATTCTCTCTCTCTCTTTCCCCCTCCCTCTCTCCCTTTCTTCCACTCTCCCTCCCACACCCTCTTGTTTCTCTTTCTCTTCGTACAAAAAAATATTAGATTTGATAACAAATTGAAAATTTAAAAATTTTGAGCAAAATATTATTACTCATTTATTATATAAGTACAACGTAAACAGTTTCATATAGATTTATATAAAAAATTAAAAATATTTCTACACACAACATAATTTTCTACATGTTTTGTATGCTAAAACAATACAGTTTACATTTTTACATTAGCAAATTTGTTACATTAATGAAAATAACAATAAAAGTAAAATAAAAAGTAAAATAAAAGAAAATATGGTTTATATTAAAAAAATTTAGTGACATAATTTTGTAAAAAAAATTGCACATCTGAAAACGCTTTTTCAAGATAAGTTTAAAAAATAAATAGAAAAATATGGTACGTACCATAGTAATAACGGTTTTGATGGCTTCCGCAGTGGCTTCCTCACTCGAAGGCGTTTCAACGAGGGTGCTGCCCAAATATTTGAGGGTGAACCTCGCCTCAGACGCATCCTCAGATTCCTCCCCGTGCGTCGTGCTCGTCGAACCGCCACCCTCCACGCACTCGCGGCTGTTCGCCAGAGCCCATTCCTCGCATAGCTCTGAAAGTTAATGCCAAGTGCGATATTCAGACAAAATCGATGATTGAACAAAATCCTATTTCGTGAAGATTGATCGTATCGCGAAATAAAAACTTCCTTCAGTTCAAATCAGCGCGAAACTTCTCATAAAATATGTATTTTGCTGTAAGAATTACGAAAAGAGAATTAGTCCTAAAGTTCTCAATTCAGAAATTTCATAAAAACTAAATATTAAATTTCTGTTTTGTTAAAAATTTATGGGTACAAGTAATAGAAGGATTTTCGAGATTATAGCAAAGAGACATGAGGACAAAAATTTTGAAACTTTTCGCTCTTTGTAGATAACAAGCCTGACGGTGATAAATGTTATGGTGGACGGAATGACCAATGTAACATTAGTTCAGGTTCGTGCAACCACATAGCTAGCCTCGTTGTCTGTCTATTTCGTGACAGGAATGGCCGCGGTCGCGCACCTATCGCAATAATGGGTACATACATCATATATATATATATATATATGTGCATATGTGCGTGCATGTGTGCGTACGTGTGTGTACAATATACATATATATGTATATAATATGTATTCGTTGCTATTCTCTCTATTCGTCGAAATCCTACCATTTTACAAGCTAAAAACTACGATGCAAGAACACTAATGCAACATTTTGTAAAATTTGACTCGTTAATGAAACAAAAGTTGTTTTAAAAGTTAACAGTAAATTATCTGTCTCGGAGAAAGTTCATGGGAAATCAATTATATCATTCTTGACGGAAGTTATAATTATAAAATGAAATAAGAAGTGTACGTTGTATGATTCTACGATAAAAAACAAAGTTTTAAAAAATTGCAGAGAATTATTTGCCTCGAAGAAAGTTGATGGAGACGGATCCTTTCGATAGAAATTATATAAGCGTTATAAAATAAAAAGAAAACATATAGAATGCTGATTTGCCGCGTAATAAAAAGGTATCGAAATTTATAGGAAATTATTTCTTTTGGAGAAAGTTGATGAATGTCAATCATTTTCTTAAAAATAATTATAACCTTGCAAGCTAATGCAATACTTGTATGCGTGTATTTATATCAAAAATTCTTTCAAATCTCACGTTATCTCGCTTGTTTCTGTATTTAAAACTAGGCACTTTATTTTTTCATAATACACAAGTGTAATAAAAAAAAAGTTCGCAAAACCGCTTTGTCGCTGCGATTCGTTCATACTGCAAGTTTTATGAAACGATATCAATAGTTGTCCACGCGCTATTGCCTGCCTCGTGTAAGTCTGAAAGTTCGCGGGCAGGTTTCTATACGTCGTTATTGTCGGATATGAAACTTTGCCCGCAGAACAATTTTGTAAAAGTGGTGAAAACTCGTTACCACTCACTCGCAACGCGTCATGACGTCTCGATCAAGAAAAGAAAACTCCGGTCCCACGAGCATCTCCTCGACGAACGTATTTTTTTAAGAATGTTAGCGGTTTTGCTGCGACATGTCAAAAGTTATCGTGTCTCCATGAGATGGAAAATACGTGCCCTCTTCGTTTTGATACGCAGATCGACTGGAGAAATAAAAGTATGAGTTACACAATCCAATCAAGGCTATCAGTCGGGTATGTTAAGTTAGCACCCCAACTATAGTACTCAGGAGTTCTGATTAGAGTTCCCACTCACTTTCTTTTGACGAGACGAAGAGTTTCCTATAGTTAATAACAAGAGTTTCGCTCAATAAACATTTTTTTTACATTTTTTAAAAATGGGGTGCTAACTTTTTATCGAATTTCGAGATGGAATAGTTCTGAGCGGCTTAATAGCTTCAATTAGCGATTGCCTAGAGTTCCTGATATGTAAAAAAAATTTTCGAACAATAAAAAAAAAACTAAAAATTTTCGAAGAATTAATTTTTAGATACAATAGTTCTGATGATAATTCCTGCTTCTTTTTGACGATACGAAGAGTTCTCTATGATTTTTAATGACATATGCGCTTAATAATCATTTTTTAATTTTTTTAAAAATGGGGTGCTAACTTTTTAACGAAATTCAAGGTCGCATAGTTCTGATCAGCTTAACAGAACTATTTTGTGAATACCTAGAGTTCTTGATACATAAAAAACATTTATGAAGTATAATAAAGTTTAAAAAAAATAGTGGAAACCTTTGAAAATTTTTTTAAGAGTACTGAGTAGTTCTGAGTAGCGTTTCTTATAGTACTCGACGAGTTCTATCGAAAACTGTAAGGTGAAAAAGCGATTGGACCAACGGTTTGCAAGATACAGCGACATTTGTCGGAAGATCAACAATTATTAGAATGAGTATATCTCGGAAACCGTTGGTCCAATCGCTTTGAGCCCTGATACTTTTCGACAGAACTCGCCGAGAACTGTCCAGAACTCCGATCAGAACTACTCGGTACTCTCAAAAAATTTTGACTTCAAATTTTTTTCTGATAACTATTGTATCTCTAAAAATTAATTTTTCAAAAATTTTTAGTTTCTTTTTTAATCTTGGAAAATTTTTTTTACATATCAGGAACTCTAGGCAATCGCTAATTGAAGCTATTAAGCCCTCAGAACTATTCCACCTCGAAATTCGATAAAAAGTTAGCACCCTATTTTTAAAAAATGTAAAAAAAATGTTTATTGAGCGGAACTCTTGTTATTAACTATAGGGAACTCTTCGTCTCGTCAAAAGGAAGTGGGAACTCTAATCAGAACTCCTGAGTACTATAGTTGGGGTGCTAACTTAACATACCCCTATCAGTCGCTTTGTGCAGTATATTTTTAAAATAGAGTTTGCTTCCTTTTCAACTAAAAATTCGTTGAAAATTTTAGATAGTAAAAAAAATTTTATATATAATAATATACAAATTCTTTTATTATAAAACTTCATAATACCTTTTTTATTTAATTTTATTTATAACTATCTAAAAAACCCTCTAATGTTTTTGATTTTTGTGTTCCTACAAGATGTGGTCTAAATAAATTCAATAACGTTTTATTTTTTATATAAAAATGTAATTTCTGATTAAATCTAGTATTAAATTACTTTCGAGAATTAATGTTCAAATGATAAAATATATGCTATAACGCTTTTTAAATACTTAATGCGAGATACATTCGTGATCGTTGTCGGTCGTCGAACGTTATATACATAGAAGGTAGGCGTTTCCACAAATCGAGGCACGTGGGAAGACACGAAAGCGCAGGAAATGCGATCGCTGCCAGGCCCATTTGTATCAATTTGTCAATGAGCACTTCCTGCGCAATCTTTTTTTTCTTTCGTATCGCAAACCATCAATCTTTAGCGACTTTCTAACGTCTGAAGAGAGATCCTAGCTCGATTTTGCAATAAAGATGGTGACTCCGAGCGATGCATTTTTGCGAAAAATGTCGTGAAAATGAATCTCGACGTGATATCATGATTATGAATGATACAAAAGCTAAAAGATTTTATATTGAAAATTATGATAGAACGATCTTTTTCTTCTGTGAACTTTTCACTTTAAAAGAATTATCTTTAGATTCATCAAAGACATCTTCATAAAGAGAAAAATAGAATGCACTTTATGGTCTTCATATAATTTTTATAGATGTATTCTTATATTATTATATTGCAAATTATCTATAGTATACAATATTTTAAATATAATATATTCAATAATAAAGTACAAAGTATAATAAAGTACCTACTAAAAAATATGTTCTTTTATGTATCCAATTGGATATCTACCTGTTATGTGAGATGAGTTCAGGACATTGCGTATCAATTTGAATATTACTCATACACATTTTCTACTTGCTACTATATGTGAATGAAGAACACTTTACATTGATTTTGTATATCTAGTATATATTATAAATTCTGAAGAGGCCTATTGACTTATTATTAGCCAAAGAATTTTTATTTAAAGAAATATTTTAGTGATCTAAAATCGATTTTAATGTGAAAATATTACTTGTAATTACATAAAAAAATTTTACAAATTTATGGCAACGATAAATATATGTGTATTCACATTTATGTAGCATAGAAATAGTATTTATTGTATTCTCGTATCGCAAATATTGTACATATCTTTTACGCATACGAGTTAAACATTTACAAATATTTTGAACAACATTGGATTGTTGAGTTGATCATGTATCAATTTACTTAGTTTATGAAAATTAGACATGAAAAATAATAGTACATTGTGGCAGAAGATCAATTCTAAAAATCCTTACAGCAGTTAAGTGTCAAAAAAATTATATTTTCGATTTTTGTATACAAAATGCAGACTATATGTGTCGAGCACATTTTATTAAAAAAAAATATATAGTGATAGTCTATTCCCATTATCCTATTTTCGGAAAGAAGCAATCATTATTTTTAACATTGACATGATAAAATTCAAACGACGCGATGAATTTAACCGTGACGCGAATATATATTCTTTAGATGTTCCTTTCAACGGAATAAGAAGAATTGACTACGGCGCCTGATCGACGAGTATTTTAATATTTCAACGACCGCGTTGACAGGGCACTACGTGAAAGCCATTCCACGTGCGACGCTAACAGAAACGCAGTGCCATCCAGCTGAAAATTTATGCGAACTGCTTCCATCCGGAGCGAGACGATGTGGAAAACCGATGTAGTGTAGCACACGTCTCTGAAATTCCATTGAGGAAAAGGCGAGTGAGGGGTGATGGCAATGGGAAAACCATCAAACGCCCGAGAAACTCTATCTGCCCTCTCTGAAATTCCTAATCGTAAAGCCACGTGAACTATCGATCGATTTTCCGTGGAAATTTGTGGCAATTAAATTTGACTCAACGTTCAAACTTTCCCCTCTCCTCTTTGATATCCCGTACAAGCTCCTATTTGCCGGCCGTAACATTGACAAAGTTACCTACAACTATAATGCGAGTTTCATGAGTACCTCAACGTAAAAACGTTCTATACATATATCGATCGAACGATTCTTACGTTTGCGTAAAGATACTCTCGCGGAGATATGCGGCTTCCGTGGCTAGAGATGAAA